GGGTGGGGGGGGGCATCCTGTCAGAACACATCAGCTACTGTCTGTCTCACAAACTGGCTGTTTTCAGGATTAAAGCTGTGACTTTTCAGTGACTAGACCTCACAGCCATGTTCAAGAAACACTCAAATACACTTTCACCGCTTGAGGTGAACTCATCAGAAGGCAAAAGGCTCACACTATTTCAATGTAATAGGTGCACTAAAGGTACTAAACACTGTAAATAGAGTGCCACAGGAATGAGTCCTACAGCCTGGCAATTAGCATTTTAGCACTTCTGGTTCCCTCGTCTCATAGGCTGGTTGCTAACAAGTGGCTAAATGACATTGTGTTTATACTCACACTTTTGCAAACTATTATTAACTTTCTAAGAGTAAAGGCTTTTATAGAAGAGGTAAGAGCTAACTCAAACTACCAGTTGGAAGTTTAACGGTGGTGACGTCAAAGTCATGAAATGGTGGTGTAGTTCGTTTGTAGCTTAACATTAGCTTTTTACTTCTGGTGACTGTATTTCAGAAATCATAAAGTGGTGAAGACTATCGTTAGCTTAGTTTATCTTGTCTTAGCTTAGCTTAGTGCAGAGACTGGAAACGGTGGGAAACAGCTAGCTGGGCTCTGTGCAAAGGTAACAGAAGTCACCTACCAGCACATCTAAAGCTCACAAAGTGATATAATAATTCCAAGTTCCAATTCTCAAGTTTGTAGTTGTAAATCAACTTTTGTAATCATGGAAAAATGTTTTAATGTTTGTTTCGCTAGCTGTTTCCCCCTGTTTGTACTCTTTATGCAAAGCTAAGCTAATCAACTGCTTTCAGCTAATCAAGCTCTCATACTTTGTACACAGGCATCCGGATGGTAACCGTCTTCTCATCTAACTCTAGGTTAGAAAGCAAACATGCAAGCATATTTTCCGAAATGTCAAACTATTCCTCTCATTATGAAGCTCAGGGATACTGTGAAAGTGTAGTACCTCTATTGGACCCACAAAAAGGCTGTGACATTAGAATACCGACAGCCTTTTTGTTTCGATAAGTAGGCTAATGTATACTTTCCAAAATGCCGACTGTTTCTTTAAATCATAATTTGATTCCAGCCGGACTCAGTTTGTCAACCTGACATCGTCAGACTGACGTCCAACAGCTGTCCCATCACGTCTGAATCTACACTGCATTTAAAGCAGGGGCCCCGAGGTGATGACAAGAGCAAAATCTGAGCGGCACACAACTGGTGGGATCCAGGCTACAATCTAAATGAGAATTTCTGAGTAGGAAGAATAATGAGACAGTTTACTTTTATTGCATCCTCAATGAGAAAAGTATTGACCCACCTTGTGTTCCTGTGGCGTTGTATCTGCAGCAGAATAACAGGACAGCAGCAAATAGCAGGTTCATCTGGAGAGAGAAAAAAAAAGAAGGAAAGCAATTTACTGACTGAAAATGTGGAGTATTCTTTCCTCTCAAATCATTAAGGTGGAGTGGAGTTGTAATTGCTGTTTAAGGAAAATAACCTCTACACCCAGCAGCTCACAATAAAACCCCAATATTTGATCTACTGGGTGTTTGGTTTACACAATAAAAATAAGAGGCACTTGCGTTGAATGGAAACAAACTTGAGCGGGAAAGGGAGGCATCTCCCTTCTAGGGGGAGGGGCCAGTTTGTTACGGTATACATCCCGTGCGGGACATGAGCAACACCACCACCTCCACCACTCTCTCATCCCGTTATCCTCTTTCTTACAGCAGCCACAAGTGGATCTGCCGGCTTATGTCTCAGGGTCCCGAGCAGCAAATGATCTCCTCAACTAAGGCCAAAGATAAAGAGAATAAGTCCTTGGTTTTTCTGCTGAGAAAAGCTGAAGAAATAGAAAAAGACACTTTCTGTCATACCCGTCCTCATATAGCACAAGGCTGGTGTTAGAGATCAAACGCTATCGCAGACAATCTTTGTTATGCTCTGCTTTCTCAATTGTTTGGCCGTGCTGACCACTGTATGAGACTAAAGCCTGGACGGAAAGATATTGACCCGAGTGCACACAAGCTAAATGAGTTTTGCGGACAAGTTCCTTGCCTATAATCCACCTCACCTAGGAAGAGGCTTGGGAGTTTCCCTTTTCCACCACAAACCCTTTCAGCGTCCTGCTGCACAAGGTAGAGGAGTAAAATAAATAACATGAAAGCTGATCCACAGGTAATGGCAGCTTTATTTGCATCCAACTGGTGGGATAGCAGTTCATCCCACAGAGGAGCCGGTTCCCAGGGATGTGTGGAAAATAAACTGCCGAATGATCACATAGCATCATGGAGTAAAATAAGAGGATTATCTGCAGCACTCTGTTAAAGACTGGGAGTAAATATGCAGTGAATTTCCTTGAGATCAAGCAGCTTTCACTGCCCACTCTAAACCCACTGTAACTGCAGAAGACAATGGAATTAGTCAGTGTGCGGAAACGAGATGGACAATACACTGAGGCGACAGCTGGTTTGTTATTCCCTATTGAAAGATAATGGCACCGAGAGTGGAGTCGTAATAGTTGGGGGAAGAGAGAGAGAGAAAAAAAGACCACTTTCCATTATGGCTTCAATTTGATTTAATTCAATTCAAATTCTTTTTTTTCAGTCCATGAGTGGAATTTTGTTTGCAGACAGAGTTTCAAATAAAAATGCAGAACAAATCACTTTTTGCTCTTCCTCGACCCTGCAGTCAAACATCATTTGATAACAGCAGATACGGAGTCAATTGCGTAACAGCATGCATACAATTCAGGAAAATAAATAAATATTGAGGCCTGTGGCTCATTTTAAAGCAAATGTAGAGCACTCACCAAAGCATAAAGAGAAACCAGGCACTGCCTGCTGCAGCAATTTAAGCAGATTTCCTCATTGCCCACTAACATCCCACTGTGTGTTTTTCTACTTTCTGACACATTACGTCCAAAATACACCAGAAGTTCTTGCTTCTTCCCAAAGGGACATTGATCTCAGGTCACTGAGTACTTGTGGCAATTGAAAGCCATTAACAACTCTCCAATGCTCTCTGCTGGAGGAATAATGCATGAGCCTCCTCCCATTGACATCATCCACATTTGCAATTTAGTAATGCACTAAACACAGCCTTGATCTGTGAGGATGAGAGAATGACAGCAGTAGCAAACACTAACTAGCTAGTTTTACCAGCTTTCAACCACACCTGATTAGCAGATGAGGATACTTCATGGGTATAAAACAAATGCAATGAATTTCCCCATCCCTCCAGGCGAAGACCATGAGAAGTGAAATCATTTTTCACCTGGCCCTATCATAATGGTGCATGTAAATTCGTGCAAATGCAAATTTATGCCTAACTTTTATGGGTATGAGTACATTTATTTATTTACTTCTTTATTTTCTTCTGAGGAAATAAGAGGAATCAGCGGGTGTGGGAGGGGTTACGTCTCGGAGAGCTTCTATGTGAGTGTAACTGTGCTGTTCTGCTGTGTGTATTGTATTTTATGTTAAGGAACATCTTGACGGTCCATCTAAAGATGTTGATATTTTTTTTTGTCAAACTATTGCTGATCTTTCATGCTATACTACTTGACTGATCAGTGACAGTAGCTGCCACAACAACACAATTTATTGATTGATTGAATTTATTCAACAATGAAATCAAAGGATATGCAGTGAGGTTTAAAAACATTGAAAATTGCACAGAAAAAGCGACAAGTCTTATTTCCCTCTTGGACTTGAATGAATGTTGGTGAAGTATGAGGCTCAAAAATGGACAAAATTGTGTTTCATCTCATGCAGATCTCTCTTATTAGATACTTGATTGCACAAAACATCATACACATAAATTAAAGCTGTTCCTAAAGAGCAGAAGGAAATGTAACATGTTCTGAGTCCTTTTTCCATGAGTTGTTTACAGTTTCAGTCTTCTCCTAGTGCTTTTGTTCAAATCTACCCTGCACGCTGACAGTGTATATCCCTGAGTGTAGACCCAGCTGCAATACATGACTCATCATCTGAAACCAAAAGCATTAATCATAAATGATTAAAACAAAAATGGGGAAAAATTCACAACATATAACGAGTGATATTGCTGAACGAGATTGAACTTCACTGGTAATGATGTTTTGCATCCTACTTGCATTTCAATGCCCTCTCAGAAGTTTCCTCCCCTTGTGTTGCACACTTGTATTACCATTTTAATTCAAAACTTCTCACCGGAAAAAAGGGTTATTTTGAAAATGCTGTTGTTTACAGCTTACATAATGTTTGGGGGAGAGCGGAGAGCTGTTTAAACCCAAAGCTTCATTTTAACTTGATAGAGGCCTGTCACCAAATGTCTGGATTGTGCATTCAGTGGTTGCACAGGACTGTGGGAGCTGCTATGTAGGAGGAGTGACAACAAAAGGAAAGACTGGGACGAATTTGCTCCTTTTTTTCCTCAGATTGTAAGAAACTAAATCTTCCGGCTGTTTGGTGGTGGGGGAGCAAATTCTATTTTAAAAAGGGGAGGGGGGGGGATCAGAGTGGAAGAGGCAGGTTTTCTTCTACTTTCACATCATCCTCGCTAAGATTAGCTCCCATTCCTCAAATGATGAATTTCTCATTTTTTTGGAACGAACGTCTTCACAGGCAGGTAATGTGGTGACTCATAATCATCTAGATGAGACCCTGAACCCATTAGTCTGAGCTGTATGAATAACCAGAGGCTAAAGACCTTGTGGAGGTGGACAGCACTGTCTCAGTGTAAGCCTGGATCTCAAAACTGAAGGATATTCACTAACAGCTTAACTCGACCACGAGAAACTAATGGAAGATGGAACCGAGCCTTCGGGGGAGTCTGGGTTATTAGAGAAGCCTGACTGAAGTCCAGAGAAGAGAGGAAACTTTTTTTGTCACAACACCTGTCCCAGGCACTTTGGCTCCATGTTTGGAGCTATGAGGTTTGTGATGGCCACACACTCTGAGCTGGGGCAGCTGGTCCCATCCCTTCATTAGACTTCCCATGAATCTGATGCTTCAGCTGGATGGCGCTGATGCTCCTGGAGCCCTCTGGCTGGATGTTGTATGACTCTCTGAGGCTGAATCAGTCCAGATGCTCTGCCCTGATGCTGCTCCTGTTTTTATTTTTTCTAATGACATTAGCTTTCCCAGGCCTGCGCTGTTAGCGTCACTGGAGCTTGCGTTGCTGCTCGCGCACCGGGAGGTGCTGCGAGACGCCCGCTGCCGCAGGTTCTGGGAAATAGATCGATGGAGGTTCCTCACGGAGGAGCTGGCTGCCATGGTGACTACCCAGCAGTGACGGATGGCTTGGTCAGCAGTCAGGCGGGTGGCCGAGTCCAACGCCAGCAGGCGCTGGATGAAGTCCTTTGCCAGGTTGGACACGGAGGGCCAAGGCTGTGTGAATAGAAGAAGCAGAGCGGAGTGATTGCCATCAGTGTGAATATGAAAGCATTCACCCCAGAAGATGTCAAGTTAGCCTACACACAGACACAGACACAGACACAGACACAGACACAGACACAGACACAGACACACACACACACACACACACACACACACACACACACACACACACACACACACACACACACACACACTATGAAAACCCGTAATCCTTTAAAAGTTTCAGCTAGGTATCTAGACGAGGCGCCCGCATAGACTCAAAGCCTCTTCAAAGCGGGATGCAAGATTTCATTCTAACACAGCAATAAAACTATGATCCCTGTGCTCTGCAGGCCTAACAAGCAGAACTAAACACAAAGGAAAGCTAAATGTCACTGGGCAAAGGGAAGGGGAAGCAGCAGTCTTGGCTGAATGAATGCGGAGCCTGGGAGGTAGGACAGCCCCGGCTGTATGTGTGGGATTTGGGCGCGTGTTTATTCTTAGCTGGCATTAGCTTCACAATAAAAGCACCACAGATGAGCCTCATTGGGATGTTTTGCTCTTTGTCAATTCAAATAGCAAATTATTCCCCTAGTCATGACCCAAGCTGACATTCAAGAATGCTTTGAAATTTGCCATGCCATCTTTGCAGTGAGAGAGAAGACGTCTGAATCCTTATCATAATTCAGAATCATTAAATTATTCATCGCGGCTTTTGGTTCTTTGTCATGGAGACAACAGCGTAGAAGCCTGCCTCAGGAAATTAGCGACCTTTGTGCTTCCATTTTATTTCAAATAAAGTATTACTGATACAGACACTGGATTAAACATCAGGTTAAAAAGTGGCCAGGACAACTGGTTATCACTGTCAAGAAGCAAACATGTTTTCTTTCTCTCCATGATGATTAGTTGGGGATTGTTTGAATGAAGTCAGGTAATGATGCGCATAATTCAGAGACTGCCTCCTTAATCACTTCCATCTCACATTATTGTCTTAAGATGCAAAAAGGTTTCGGCAGTCGCTCGACAATTAGCTCAGAGAAATGTCTCCACCATGTCAGGCTGGGCGGGAACAAAAAGCTAAATACAGTCAAATCGGAGTGTGCAAAATTCTCTCATTCTCCGCTCAACCTCGCACAGACTACATCTCACTCTTTAGGGAGGTCTCGCTCTCCATTTTAATCCTGAAATGCATTTCTCTCTCCCTCTTTTTTTTTGTCTCTCGACGAGTAATGACAATTAATCAAGCATGAAATTGACAATCGCGAGACTGTTGCCGGTGAGAGGAATTCAAAAGAAGCTGGGACTCGCTTATTCTCACAGTGCACTGACTGGAGAGAAGTGTGTGGTGCGCGGGAAGTATAAACCAGGGGAGGGGGTGGGGGGGTGGGGGGTGGGGGGGGGTGGGGGGGTTGGCCGCCTGCTGAACGAGCTGTAAAAAATGCTTCTCACTCAAACTTTCTTCTCATTGAGTTGTTATTTCACACCTGATGAGCAGGCAGTGTGACGCCCAGTTTCCCCGGGAGGGAGAGAAAGTGTTTGATTGAGCTTCCACGACTAACAAGTCTGGCTTTCCTCTCCATCCAGCACTGGTGGTGATTCGGCGAGGCTTCCTATTACCATACACACTGGACAGCAGCAAGCCTTAGCTAGCATTTTCCTTTTTGTCCTTGATCTTGAAAAGATGGGAACACGTAGGTTTTAGTGCGTATCGGCTCCGTACGAGGCATGGTGAAGCTTTTTTTTTCTTTGTTCTTTTTTGGTGGCGAATGGTGCAGAAAACATTATCTGAGAGGCAGTAAAAGTTGCCTCCCTGTCTGCTATCAACTTCCAAAGAAGAGGACACGTAACTGTGTTGTCGTCCTGGAACCGAGCCACCTGCAGGAAGTTTATCTCCCTCCCTTATTTCGAACATTTTTCACGTCAAAATACACAAAGGCTTTATTGGGTTTGGAAGAAGGGGGTGTTATACATTACTGTTGAGCAGAGAGCTAGCCCAAGAGAAGGGAGGGAGAGAAAGAGAGAGAGCGAGAGACAGAGAGAGAGAGAGAGAGAGAGTGGTGTGGCATAAGCAGTGGAGAAACCTACAGGGCTTGGCTTATTGAGCAACATCTTGTTAGAGCGAATGAGAAGCTCCGCCGACTCTGTTTGCGGCGCGCTACATCTTTACCTGACAAAGCCCTAATTGCAGCAAATGAAGAAAACGCTAGAAGGTTGGATTAATGTGATCATGAGGATAAAGCACGTCTGAGTAATGAACTACTTCACATGAGATCTGACTCACCTGGCAGCAAGAAAGCCAAGTTTAAATATGCCTCATCATAATGAGTCCAAAGGGGAGGGGGGTTGTCGCTAATTCAGGTGAAAGTCACATCTAAGCCACAGTAATCACAATATCGATACCCGGATGCAGGAGAGATTGGGCTGTCATGTACAATACACTGTGGCCAAGTGCAGGCTGGGCTTGTGTTTTGCATGGCGCTCACTAGGGGGCACACTGGGCTAACCGTTACCCAGGTTGCCCTGCTGCTGCTGCTGAAAGATGCAGATGTTTTGGGGTTGGGTCAGGAAAGTGCGGCTTCCATAACACAGCAGCAGAATGCAGAGGAGGTTACCAGGCTGCTGTTTGGCCTGAACTAATGCAAGGATTTGTGCTTTACATACAAAAGGCTGCCACGACAGGAGCACACGTGCATGCACACACGCGCGCACCTACACTGAAATCCACTTACACACATCAGATGAGATGCACTGATTCCGTGCGAGGGACACGCTCCGTCCTACATGCAGCTAACGGATTGAGTGATAAGGTGCGAAAATCCCCCAAGGCTACACCCGTTCTTTCCCTCCCTCCCTCCCTTCTCTTGCTCCTCACCAAACTCCTCCGCCCTGCCATCCATCCCTGACTCCCTCTCAATCCCCACCCTCCCCACCAACTCCCCTTCCTCCCTCCCACTGGTGAGTAAACGCATCAGTGTGAGTCTGCACTACAGGTCTTCAGGCCAAGGGCTGTTGCACCTGTGGGGAGTGCCTGTGCACCGTGTGTGTGTGTGTGTGTGTGTGTGTGTGAATGCGAGTCCATGTGTGTGTGTGTGTTGCAAGTGGAGTAGGGAAGGGGCGGAGGATGCCGGGCACACAGAGGGACCCAGCTTGTGGGCAGGTGCTGGCGGCTGTTTGCATTCCTGAGTCTCACCTCCATTTTACTGTTGAAAACCCCCCAGCCCACCCACACACACACCCACACCCACACACACACACACACACACACACACACCCACACCCACACCCACACATTTACTCCATGTCCCTATTCAGTTTCAATAAACACAAAAGGTTACTGATACTTTTGGAGGAATGTTTGTAATTGCAGCCCCTGTGAATTAATTTGCATAGACTATGAGAAGAAGAGAAAAATCTTTATACGTCCATCTGGAGAAATGATAGCACCTGAAGTTAATCCCTTTTTTCACCACACTGCTTTGTTGAATGCTTATTTCAAATTTCTTCCAGTGGCATATTTAACTGTTTAGTCAAAACAAATAACTCAATATATATATTCTCATTTTCATCTCTTTTTACCAAATGCTATCATCATTTATACGTCCTTGTTATGGAACTCTAGAGTAATTATATATTGTTAAATATAGATGGGTTTTTTTGGTGTCTCAGTGGTTAGCACTGTGGGTTGTAAATCCCCTCCAAAAAAAAAAGGACACATAGTGTCATGGTTCCAGCGTCAGTGGTAATAAATCAACACTAAGCGGAGCGATCAGGCTATGATGAGAGCGATTCTGCAGTTTGTAGTCCGGGTGTGTGACATACTAAACAGGGCGGCGGCGCATTGTTAAATATAATAATTTCTCCATTTCAAAACATAGTGGATTAGCGATATTGGCCACATGTGCATGCTCATAACTGAACCAGAGCAAGCAAAAAAAAAATACAATATGAATATAAATGATGATTATTAATAATTAACTACCAGTATCAGTCTCAGAACCATTTTCTGGCTCTCTTGGTCCTGATAGCATTTGCCCATATTATCATATCATCTATATTCAGGAGTATTGTATTGACATCCAATCAAGTTACTTGTGACACCTTTAGTTAAAAATGAATCCTTGTTCATTGCTGCCAAACTTACATCTTAGGTTTGTCCTTTCAATAATCCTTGTGATTTATTAAGAAAAAAAAAAAAAAAAAGATTTGTGGAAGCCAGTGTTCTCATTACTATTCATAGTATAAAAGGCATTGTGTGTGCATTTTGAGTATCGCCGTGTCACTCTGTTCAACTGCTGGACGGCTCATTTGAAATGAAACTCTTCAAGTTGAGTTTAATATGTGAAGGGAATTGCTCAGGCTATTGAAAGTGTTCTGGGCCCACAGAGAAGCACCCTCCTGAACGCCATGGAGAACCCTTGTGATGGCAGAGGATACTTTGTGGATACTTGTGAACCTTTGTCACACATTACAACATTATTATCACAGTGTGTGTATGTGTGTGTGTGTAGCAGTGCTGTCAGTCTACTGGAGAGGGTGGAGACTTGCACATGACAGAGAATAAGTGTCTTGTCACCACGATAATGTGATTGATGACTGATCCATCAAGCCCCTGGACCGCTGCTCAGCCATGTACGATATCTTCATATTGTCATCATATGAATTTACAGATTGATGTCTTTACTGTATCTCACTGGGACGTGAGAGTGTATATGTAAGTGTGTTTATTCCCAAGGATTTTCTCTCCACCAGTGTGGCCTACATATGAGCTCGGTCGAAAGCCACCATGAAAAACGTGAAATAAGCCCTTGCATAAAGTCTAGAAGGATTTTTGCACTATTGTTCAGCTGGTGGTCAGTGCAGCGGTAAACACAGGGATAATAGTCCAGGGCCTATGTAAGGGAGCCTCTTGTATGCCAGACTAAAATGTCAAACTGCATCCCTGAGAAATGGGCCAGGCTTAAAGCCCAGTGAATAATCCAGCCTTGGGTGTAATCAGCGTGAAAGAACAAGCCCAAACTCGCCACTGAGCTCGACAGAATAGGCTGTTAAAAATACCCTCTTCAGTCGTGTGACAGAGGAAAAAAAACCCAAAAAACAACAACAACAACACACAAAAAAAAAACCCCGGGTTCCTCTTTACCCCATTTCGAAGCATTCTCAAAGAGCCGATCCAAGCGGAAACTCGACACACCGCAACAAACTTTCACATATCCCTTCATGTGCTTTACAATGCTGGAGAGAGAGAGGGGTAAAAAAATAAATCCACCTTGTTACCTTGTTGAATTCTATTTATACTCGGCAGGGATAGAATAATGGAGCTATTCCTGGAAGTTATAATAATGATTAAGGTGTGAATCACTCTTGTGCAGCGAGGAGATGCAGCAGCCATATGCGAGCGGATGTGATAATTCCTAAACATGCACATGACACACAACACAACGCGACTCAGACTGCATTGTGGGGGGAAAATTATGGGGCTGCATGTCAAAATGGAAACGGTAGATGGGAGTTTTACTTAAAGCTGTTTCATTCACCGGGTTAACCGTCAGCCTGCCAAATCACTACAACCAACTTTTCGTGCTAAACTGCGTGTGTGAGCGAGCTCCTGGTTAGCATCCACAACGCCAGACCCAAAGTTTCCATTCTGACCGCATGACAGACAGGCACAGCGGTGGGAATTTTGTGGAGTGAAGACTGTCAAAGAAGCGGAGGTCAAGTCGGCATTATGAGCAGGCATCTGTGAGCATTAACAGACTGACAACTTCTACCTTTCTATGACAGAATATTCCTGACAAAAAAAACCCCAGCGTGTGTCTGCTGCAGGAGCCGGAGTTCAGGTTTTTGCACTGGATACTTATTTTGACTCTTTGCAAGCGTCAACACAAAAACACTCTTAAGGGGACAAACATAAATGCTTGTGTGAAGCTCCCAAACAATAAAATCAAAAGCTGCCTCTTGGGGAAAATGGATGTAGTTGGTGTAAAAGGGGGGAAAAAAACCTGGCTTTGTATCGCAACTGTATATAAATTTAAAGTTTTTCAAAGATAGCAAGCCTGCACCTCACAAGTTCCATGGTTCCCTGGTTCTGTCCATCATCCTCAGATCACTTCACCGGCTTCCAGTTTCTCACAGGATCAACTCAGGAATTCTATTACTTCTATTACAAATCAGATCTTATCTGTTCTCCTGACCCAGTGCGAATCCTTCAGACCTCTCAGGTCGGCTGGTTCAGGGTTACTGGTTGTTGCTTCCTTTCCCTTCTATGCTGCTACCACTTCCACACCCAAGCTCACAACCTATCTGTTTCATTGCTTTTAATTAACACTTGACTCTGTGTATGTTCTGCCGCTTCTACAGTTTTCTCATTGTAAACTCATTGTACTCGTTCTCATTGTGAAGCACTTTGTCTTGCCTTTGTGTATATGAAAGGTGCTTTATAAATATATTTGCCTTGCCTTGCCATTGAGGTGTTGCAGTAGCTGGATGTGCTACATGTCCATACATCTTCATGATCTCTGCACACTTGGCTGGCATCGGATATAAATTGTGTGACGTGGAATTATCCAATATGCATGTATTTCCAAGTGATTCTAGGCATAATATTATTATCATTGCCTCCAGAGCTATTAAGAAACACTAACTCTACATCACTAAATTCCAATCTGCACATAAAGCCCAGTAAACTTACATCTCCATGGAAACTGTACTTTCCTCTCACTATGGATCTGTAGAGCCGCGTGCGACTGTCTTCCTCAAATGGCATAGATCCACTCAGCACGATGTAAGTGATCACCCCAAGCGCCCACATGTCCACTGCACAGGTGTAAGGTTTCCTAAGTAACACTTCAGGGGCCATGTACTCCGGTGTTCCACAAGTGGTTCTCAGGGACCATGATGTCTGATCTCCCCTGTTGCTCATGTCAGTGTCAGAAACCTCAGACCCCATGCTTGTGCCACCAAAAGTGGCCAATCCGAAGTCGGTCACCAGCAGCCTGGAGTCAGCTCCGGGGTGGTAGTACAGCAGATTCTCAGGCTTCAAATCTCTGTGGGTGATACCCAGATCGTGCAGGTATCCCACCCCAGCCAGCACCATCCGGAGGGCCTGGGTAGCGTCCCGCTCTGTGAAGTGGCCCCTGCTGACAACACGGTCCAACAGCTCCCCACCTGTCGCCAGTTCCAGCACCATGTAAACCCGCTGCGGGAACTGAAACACCTCGATCAGCTGAATCACATTAGCATGGCTCACCCGCTGCAGCACCGCCAGCTCTGACGCGCACACCTCACGGCCCTCTGGGGCCTCTACCTCCATCATTTTTATGGCGAAGGGCTGGCGAGTCGCCCTGTGCTCCACACGCACAACGCGACTGAAGCTGCCACGACCGATCAGAGCCTTGATGTCGTATCTGACAGGGCAGAAGGGGAAAGATGACTCATTACAGCATAACTATCTCATGATACACTGTTGTAAAGCACTCACGTCTCTCACTGCAGCTGCAGCTGTGATCTATGGGAGGGGATCTGTATGCTGTTTAGGCGACTGCAGCAGAGTCAACCAAGGAAATCCATGTATATATATATATACACACACACAATGATTCTGATTTACAGATGAATATGGCAATACTTTACATAAGCTGTGACTAATCAGATGTGGAAGGAGACGTGCAGTCCTTGCTTTAATTGTCTGTAAGTTTTCACCTGACAAGTACAGGAAGGCAGTCTACAGGTATTACAAGGCCTCTCAAATGAATGCCTGCTATTACTGCTGATAAAGTGTACTGCACAAAGGTTGGTGGTTGGCTGACAGGAATGAGAAAGCAGGTGACATTAGAAAAGCTCTCATGAGTAATTGGAAGGCTCTTAACGAGTCATATCACCTTACTTTGTGTTGCAAATGATCTATTTTTGAACGATTGTTAAAAACTGGCAGCTCACAGAGGCTGAGATAATATCACTTGTTAACAGTTTCATAATTTCTTTCTTTTCTCTTCCCCATTTCTTTTTTTTAACACAGTAAGTTACTTGACAAAATCAGGTCACTTCACCAACATCGAGTATGATTAAACCTGCATGTTTTTCTGATGCCATTTTCATAAAAATCTTCATGATTTTAATATTTATTTATTTATTTTTTACCAGAATAAAGTCAAATCTTACATAACAGAAGTTGGCAAAAATATTATTACAGATGCTTTAACTGCACAAATAGGTTACATAATACTGTATAACTGGATTCAAGGAAATTTTACATATTACTTACTTGAAATTATCTCAGCTTTTTAACACTATCTATTAAAAAACTTTTTTTTAGTATATCAATATTACTATAAAACATTTACCTTGCTGTCACACGTGGATCAAACTTGTCCTTATACTTGGCAGCTTTGTCCTGTTGTCGTCCATCTCTGATTATCAGCTGTTGGCTGTTTGATGGCGGCTGATGACACTTGACACTTGTGGAAAACCAAGGGCCCCTTTGCTTCTCCAGACGCTTCTTTGGCTCATCATCATCCCCACCATGTGCTTTGCTGAAGGCCACAAGTGATTGCACCACACTTACGTAGCTCTTCTTGGATGCCTCAGGCAGCACCTTACTGTTCCCACAGCCCATCACTCAGAAGGAGTCAACCATCCAAACAATCCCTGCCTCTGCTGTAACCTCAGCGTAGCCTAGAACGAGCCAACATGACAGCAGCTTTCTTTCAGCTACAGTACACAGATAAAGCAGCACCTTGATGCTTAAGTGTGTAAACAGTAGCACCACCAGACCCCACCCACCGGCAGGTGTGTGAACCCACACTCTCACTCACTTGTGGTAAAAGTGTCAGGTAAACAGAAGTTGTTTTGAAGCTATTGTCACTCCTCGCAGAGTCAATTACCACAGTGATAGCAGACAAAAGAAGTATTAGTGTGGAAGAAGGACCCCCAACAAAGTGAAGGTTCCAGTCACACACCAGTAACATTATAACATCACATGTAGCCACATCATGTATGCTGTTCAATCAACTTCCTTGGCACTAAAATGCTTACAAGTTACTCTGTTCTATATGGGATAATGGGAGTTAGATATTGGCACAGTGTAAGAAAACATTTTCGAATTTTTAAGTGAAACATTTCTTTATTTAAGCAGCTGGTCATTTCCATCATCCAAGGTAAACGAGGTGTTCAGAGAGTGCAGCCAATGTCAACCAACACACACCAGACTTCACAGAAAAAAAATCCAAATTCATAGTAAATAATTCTGATCTGCCCCAAAATTTAATGGCTTCTTCACTGACCCGTGAGCCACCCCTCCATCAAGTTTGGTGGAAATCATTTGAGTGGTTTTTGTGTTATCGTGTAACAAACAAACCAACAAATGTACTCCCTCAAGCAAAATGAACTTGGAACGGCCCACAAGTCCTGATTTTTGCTTTTCACCTACAGACAAAGTGCCTGACAACCACAGTCACATTTGTATTTATTGCAGCAAAACATAATGTACAAATATTGCATATTACATTTTGTAGTTCACATCTATGCCACTGCATTTTTAACTGATTGCAGGTTGTGTCAAAGAACGCAATAGGTATGCATGTTCACTGTATTGTTTGTATGGTTGAGCACAGTACATTACATACAGTGTCCCTGTCAAGCCTGTGACTATAGTGCTAAACTATTTTTTCTATTTTCTGCATTATATTGTGCTGCTGTCATCATGTGTCCATAATCCTCAGAGAATGGAACAGGGAAGGAAAAAAAAAAAATTAAATAAATAAAAACAATAACATATAGCCTCCTCTCCCTGCCTGCCTCGGCCCTGTACATTGTTTAAAAAGAGCTAAACCTTGCAGAAACTGAAAACACGTACATATTTATTCATACAAGGCTGCGGAGAGGAAGCAAAGGATCAAAAAGAGGGAGGAAGCACCTTTTTACCACAAGTATTGTGCTGTACAACGGGTTTAAATTATTCCTTTTCACTTGAGCAGTGCTGAAATAATGTGGTAATATGAGTATTGTATAATGAGTTCATGTTTATGAATAAATTGTGCAGCATGTTTGTGTAGTTAGGAAGATGTACATGGCCTTTTTCCAAAACAAGACATAGTATATTTAAAAAAAAAAAAGTACTACCTCTACACTCACAATTATTTTTTTGTGTTGTGTTGTACACTTGATTGATTGATTTTGTTGCTTTTTTTTTTTAAGATGGGTATTGCTTTGCTGCTCACGCTAACTTATTTTCTTCCATTCATTTTACTTGGATTTATTTAAAAAAAAAAAAAGAAAAAAAGCACTGCTCTTGCTGTGTGAGAAAAATACAGCATTTCCTGTGCGTCAGGAGGATTATTCCCACCAAAGGCCTATAGCAGATGCAGAGTGTTTAGATGCAGCAAATGGAAAAGCTTTCATGAAACGAGTAGAGGTTTAATCGCTATTGTGTTATATCCTTTGGCAGTTAAGAGCAGGAAATGTTTATTTATATAAAAATGTCATAGATGCTATTATACATCGCTGTGTCTTTTCAAAGGTGTAAATTGTGTTGTCATAGGACAGAGAAGCCGGCTGCATCATCAGTTGCTTGTCTACTGCAGTTTTTTTTTTTTTTTTTTCTTTATCCAGAGGAGCCAAAGGGGATGCTGGGCCTATCAGTTTATTCTGCTGTCACACACTGACTATCCCCTCTCGAAGGACTATGTGCACACATACACACATATATACACACAGACAGCATGAGACAGAGAACCCCCACGCCCCTCCATATACTGACACACCGAGCCAACAGAGGATAGACATCACATCAGCACTGAGGTGGTAAATCGCCCTTCAGAAGCCTTCCTCAAGGGAGTCAGCAGTTCAGCGTTTATCGAACCACTATCTGATTACTAAAAGGCTGTCCTCGGTTATAAATGAACCCACAACATGTGTGTGGTATTGGTAACACAGGGGCCTTGGGAGTAAGAGCCATTATGGGTTGCTGTGAATCAGTTTAGGCCAGAGGAGCGGTCAGAGCGCAGCTGCCACTTACCAGTCAGTTCATTACTGTTGTTATTGTAGTCTGAGGATGTGATACCTTTGTGTGAGAGGAGTGGACCGGAGCTAGAGCAAGCTGAAAGCTGCAGATTGAAGTGGCTCACAAGCACAGGTGAGTGAAAGGCTGAAAAAGAGCCATTGTTTCTAGGTCGAAAGTAAAAATTAAATAATAAAAAGTTGAGTTTTAAAAACGAGGACGATTCAATGAACACTTGAAGCTTGAAAATGTAAGCTATAGGTGGGTGAGACAGCACAGAGACTATTTCTGGTGTGCACTCAACATCATAACTAGCAGGGATGATTGGAAACAGCGTATTATAAAAAGCCGTGTCTCCCATAGATTGCATAATTCATCAAGATTTTCTTGTCCTTACTTAACCTGGACTAATATCCAGTATATAATCTGCACACTGAAAAGCAGTCTGGCCTAGGCCCATTGGTTCAGATTAAGGGAAATCATTTGTTTGTTTTGCCCTTTCCCATTTCACCCTAACCCCATCCAACAAGTGGACCTACGTTCCAGAAGTGTGTAGCGTCTACAGTAGCATATTAATACCTATAATTTTAATATGTTTAATAAGCAGATATAAGTGAAATGTTTGGTCACATAGCCCTACAATGTATATATACACACACACACACGCACGCACGCACGCGCATGCACACACACATACACAGGTCAAATTTCAATGTGCTGAATCTTTACTCAAATGAGATCAAGTCAAGTTAATCTATTTAGAAAAGGTTACATAGAAAATAATGAAAATGAAATAGGTTCTAAAATAGAGCCTTGTGGTACTCCACAGGAGACGCAGAAGAAAAATTTGCAATCTTACTGAAACAAAGTGAATTTTTGCCTTGCATTAATTTTGTGAAAAACACTGCAGTGACTTTTGCTGTCAGATTTTATTCACTACAAACATATAGCCAGATCCATAAACAAATGCCTTTCCTGATTATTATTTTCTTCATGGCCATCAACATGAATGAAGTGGAATCATAAAGCCATTTATGGCAAATTCTTTACTCAGGCTGTAACATTTAACACAATTTGCTCTTCCAAAATTCATTTGTTCCTTGCACTGACTTCACATACAGCTGTGGTGTAAAATTGGTGTTCAGTCAATAAACCATTTGGTAGTTTAAAGAGAAGTGACCCATGGTTTGTAATGAACTCGACTTGAATTTGTCAAGAATGTTATATGAAAATTAGCGGAATAGTACCAGGAATGGTACCAACACTGGTTTTAGTCTTCCATTCCATTGTCCAAAAGTGTTCCAGTGCACACCAGATAAATACTTCCACAGAGACCGTGTGTGGGTTGATAAACTAACTCCACTGCTGTTGGTCAATCGCCGAGATTTGCTCTCCCATCAGTAATGGGTCATGCCCCGTCATGACCTCTTTCATTTGCACTGTGCCCACATGCAGCATTATACAGCTGATTAATTAGAGCCAGCCGCGATTCATCAATGAAACACTGGCCTGTAATTGTTGTTTTGCAGAGAAAGAGAATGACACAAATAAGCGTAGAGCTGGACACAAGACGTATGTTTGCTTATTACGAGCTGTTGGGAACAGGAGGAATCAATGCTTGAGGACAATATGTGTTTTTTTCATGACAGGGCATGTAAACCCAGCCTACTTTAATACAACACTGTGGAATGAGCCCTGGCTGCCCACAGCTAGGCAGCAATAAAGCAGGGCTGCTGAGCACAATGGTAGCGAAACAAAACTAATTACAGTGACAAGTGAGGCAGGCACCAGGTCTGTCAACAGAAGGGGAGGATGCTACATCTCCCAAAGGCAGGACCCTTAGGTATGGCTGACGGATACTCTAATTTTCTTTTCTGTGAGGAGCTCAGAGGTGGCCAGGGGTCGAGACAAATTGCCTGTGACGTCTTGATTGAACAAATCACAGACGTCGTGCAAGTTGGCAAAATTGGATTCAGTTGACAGATACAGTCACCTGCCCAGGCTGCACCATGATGTGTGGCCATGGACTCACATGTGTAATTAATGAACAGTTCTGCTAATTACTCTTCAGCAGACAACGGGATAAAGAAAACAACTGAAGAAGGGTCAGGCGATCTAATAGGAGCCACTGAGCTGTGCCTTGTACATCCTGTCATATCCTGAGTAATCTCTGCAGACATTTGCTTCATTCACCCCCCTAAATAAAAAAATAAAAAATCAATGATGTGGTTAATTGTTTCTTAGACCAACATTCTTGAATAATGCTGTGTTAAAATTTGAGACATAACAAATATTCACAAACTCTTCTGTATGGACACAAACTATTTGACATTTTAGATATATCTTCTCAAATGTACAACCTGACCTCAGAGAAAGGTTTACCTCCAAAGGTGAACATCTGCCGTTTCTCTCTCCATGACTCAGAGACGATCATTTCTAACCATTAGGCTTGACCTTTAAAGTCACCTGGTTGCAAGGACAAAATGTGAAAACCCTTCCCAAAATAAAGACTGTTCCATAAAATATGTGCACATTTCTAAAGCTATCAATATATAGTCCCTAACAAGAAAAAAAGGACAGCTATCAATATTTTTACTTGTTAAATTCCTGAAAACCTC